ATCAGATGCTGACCTGGCCGCATGCCGATTGTTGCTCATTTGTGCAGGACTAGGTGAAGCACAGCCGCAGTGGTGGCGGGGGCTCCCTGGGTTTGAGTCTGTGGCCATGGCCCAGGTGACTACAGACAATTGAGTTAAGCAGAAGTGGAATAGAGAGGAAGCCAAATGGGAGAGGCATGTCTGAGAAGATAGGGTTTGGTAATTAATCCAACATGGAGGGGTGGAAGAGAGTTGGACCGTAGCATGAATCCGAGCTTGGGCAACAGAGTGATGGTGCTACCATTATCCAGAATAGATAAGGTTCCTGTTGGGTCAGAGGGTAGACCTCGATCAGTGTAGGATCAGCTTAGCTTAGGATGCCTTGGGGTCATTCATATGTTCAGTCAGAGGCTGGAAATATGGGTCTGAAACTTCTGGCCAAGGGTCTGGGCCAGAACAAGTGGCTTGCAAGTCATCGACATGAACCTTAGGAAGGAATGAACCCCCTGCCCCCAGGAGACTGCAGAGTGAGGGGGGCACAGCATCCATAATTATTTAGAGGGAAGCATCGAAAAGGACCTGAGGGGGACACTAACCTTGTAGAAGATCTCGGGATCAGAGCTTTACAGAAAGAGATTTCTGATGGACACTTGGATCTTTGATGAATTATCCATTTTGAGCCTCAGATGCTAGTTTTTCATTTAATTTTTTTAATTTGACACTTTTCATTTACCTCATACTTGATTAGAAAGTCATAAAGGGTCTCAACATCCTTTTTTTTTCCCCAAAGATTTTATTTATTTATTTGTTAGAGAGAAAGGGAGGGAAGGAGAAAGAGGGAGCGGAACATCCATGTGAGAGAGAAACATCGATCAGTTGCCTCTTGGACGTGCGTCGACTGGTGACTGAACCCACAACCCAGGCATGTGTCCAATTACTGTTGGGGCTCAAAATCCTTTCACAGGTAGGAACAGGCTGAGAAACAGGTGCTAGTTTTTTAAAGGGAGAAAATACTTGCCTCACATCCTTACAAGGATTAAATTAAAAGACATAGCCCTGGCCAGTGTGGTTCAGTTGGTTGGAGCATAGTTCCATAAACCGAAGGGTCACAGGTTCAATTCCTGGTCAGGGCACATGCCTAGGTTGCAACCGGTTGATGTTTTCACATCAGTGTTTCTCTCCTTCTTTCTCTTCCCCCGCCCAGAATAAGCATGTTCTCGGGTGAGGATAAATCAATTAAAAGACGAGTGTAATAGCCATAGCACATAGGAGATATTGGGTAACTTATAGCCTCTTTATCTTCCCATTCATAAAAGTAACTTCCATAGAGTCATGGCAGCTGAGCCCAATTTTAATGAGAGGAATGAACAAGTTGAACAAATTGTATTTGCAAGTGTAGGTTACTTTTCCAAGAATCTTGGTGGTAAGGAATAAGAGATGAGGGAAGAAAGAGTCAGGGTGGGTGAGGGAAGTTAAACCTGTCGTGGTGGAAGAGAAACCGATGGTACAAGAGAGCATAGGACGGGCATCGGTGGTTCCTGAGAAGGTGGAGGTGCACAGCATGGAGAAGGGGAGGAGGAGCCTTTCTTCCCAAGGGGCCCAGCACATGGGGTTTGAGGCAGAGGGGTGGAGGTCTGCGAGAGTGGAGAATGTGGGAGTGGGGTGGGCTTGACACAGACCACCGCAGGTACAAGGGAAACCACACACTTCCTAACCAGCCTGGAGGACATAAGGCAACTGGTTTGGGAGCTCAGGGTGGGAACCTCGGGTCACCGCTCCATGCCCTTCCCCCTATTCCAGATGATAGAGCAAGATGACCTGGGTATTTCTGGGGGCAGGCAAGAACACAGGCCATGGGAGAGGATGGTAAATCTTTCAGTCTAAATCTCTTCCCCTCAGGGAAAGTTCCCCAAGGGTGACAAGGCTGAGGATGGCTTCCATGGAGTCTCCCCAGTGAATGCTTTCCCCCCACAGAATAACTATGGTAAGACTGCATATTGGGTTACTGTCAACATTCACAAAGTGGTTGGCGGGAGCATTCTGCCTGATAGATGAGGCAGAAAGAAGCACCATAGGGACTTCTGGCAAGATTGGAGGTATAGGTAGTATCACTTTACCTCCTCGCACAACCAAAAAAAGGACAACCACAAATTTAAAAACAAAAAACAACCAGAATTGCCAGAAAATCAGACTGTATAGAACTATGACAACCAAGGAGTTAAAGAAGAAACACTCATCCAGACTCATAGGAGGTGTGGAGACAGGAAGCTGGGGCAAGAGAGGACAGCAAGGCAGTGGCTTGGGGTCCCACGTTTGCATGTGAATAAACTGGGAGGAATAACTGGGAAGCAAGACAGACAGCGCAACCCAGGGTTCCAGCACAGGGAAATAAAGCCTCAAAACCTCTAGCCATAAAATCTTGTGAAGGTAAAGGCAGTGGGAGAAACTCCCAGCCTCACAGGAGAGTTTGTTGGAGAGACCCACAAGGTCCTAGAATGTACACAAAACCATCTACTTGCGAATCAGCACCAGAAGGGTCCAATTTGCTTGTGGGTAGTGAGAGACGTGACTGAAAACTGAGCAAGAGTCATCGTTCCCTCTTGGACCCCTCCCCCACATACTGCACCACAAGGCAGAGATGTGGGTTGCCCCACCCTGGTGGGTACCTAGGTTCTGCCCCTTACAATGTAATAGGTGCACTGAGACAAAGAAATATGGCCCAAATGAAAGAATAGATCAAAGCTCCAAAAACAGAACTAAGCGATGACGAGGTAGCCAGCCTACCAAATGCACAGTTCAAAACACTGGTAATCAGGATGCTCACAGAAATGGTTGAGTGTGGTCTCAAAATAGAGGAGAAAGTGAAGCCTATGCAAAGTGAAATAAAGAGAAATATACAGGAAACCAATAGTGAAGGGAAAGAAACTGGGACTCAAATCAAAGATTTGGAGAAGAAGGAAGAAATAAACATTCAGTGAGAACAGAATGAAGAAACAAGAATTCAAAAAAATGAGGAGAGGCTTAGGAACCTCCAGGACAACTTTAAATGTCCCCACATCCAAATCATAGGGGTGCCAGAAGGAGAAGAGGAAGAGCAAGAAATTGAAAACATAATGAAGGAGAACTTCCCCACTCTGGTAAAGGAAATACACTTCCAGGAAGTTCAGAAAGCTCAGAGTCCCAAAGAAGTTGGGCCCAAGAAGAAGCACACCAAGGCACATCATAAATATATTAGCCAAGATTAAAGATGAGGAGAGAAACTTAAAAGCAGTGAGAAAAAAGGAGACAGTTACCTACAAAGGAGTTCCCATAAGACTGTCAGTTGATTTCTCAAGAGACCTTACAGGCAAGAAGGAGCTGGAAAGAAGTATTCCAAGTCATGAAAGGCAAGAACCTACATCCAATATTACTCTATACAGCAAAGCTATCATTTAGAATAGAAGGGCAGATAAAGTGTTTCCTGGATAAGGTAAAATAAAGGAGTTCATCATCACCAAGCTCTTATTATATGAAATGTTAAGGGAATATATCTAAGAAAAAGAAGATAAAAAATATGAACAGTAAAATGACAACAAACAACTATGAACAACTGAACTTTTAAAAAAACCACCAAAGACTAAGCAAACAACTAGAACAGGAACAGAGTCACAGAAATGGAGATCACATGGAGGGTTATCTATCAGTGGGGAGAGAGAGGAGGGAGAATGAGAGAAAAGGTACAGAGAATAACTAGCATAAATGGTAGGCACAAAATAGACAGGGGGAGGTTAAGAATAGTATGGGAAATGGAGAAGCCGAAGAACTTATATGTACGACCCATGGACATGAACTAACATGGGAGAATGCAGGTGGGAGGGGGTACAGGGCAGAAAGGAATAAAGGGGAGAAACAAATGGGACAACCGTAATAGCATAATTAATAAAATGCACTTAAAAAAAAGCACCACATAGAAGCATTTGCTTCCCAAGGCTTTGGTGGCTGGCAGGGTGGGTGTGTTGCTTCCCAGCATGGGTCTGACCCACCTGCTGTGCTGCAGGGCTCTATGACCTCGTGGGCAACGTGTGGGAGTGGACTGCCTCACCATACCAGGGTGCTGACCAGGACATGCGTGTCCTGCGGGGGGCATCCTGGATCGACACATCCGATGGCTCCGCCAATCACCGGGCCCGGGTCACCACCAGGTGAGAAGCTGGGGGCTGAGGGTCTGGGATGTGGGCTCCCAGAGCACCGGTGGCACCAGAACTGCTGTTGGCGCTGCCTCTGCCCCTTTACTTCCACCAGGAGTTGTGGGCACCGAAAAGAAACCAGGCAGTGCTCGCCAGGAAAAACAAATCAGTCCAGGACAACTTGTGCCTTTTCAGCTCTGAGCTTCCAGTCCTTATAAGTAGGTGTGCAGAGGCAGGGAAGTAAAACGTCAATAGGTCATGGCTGTGGGTCATGGAAATATTGATGCTTTCAACTGGTGGGCACATGAAAAATCATTTTCTACAGACATTTTGATTTACAGTCAAGTTAAAAATGGGCTCAGGTGGGTCCCGGGACCTGCTCATTCCACACAGATGGTTAGTGGTGGCACCTGCGTGGTAGAGTCCCAGGCTCCTGGTCTAGAACTTTCTGCTTCGTTCATGTGTAGATTCATTTTGTTTGACCTCCCTGCAACTCCTCCTCCTCCTCGGTTCCATAAGGACTATAGAGGTCACTGTTTCTGTGTCCTCGAGATATCAGATTTGCAGGTGTTTCTTTGACCCATAGAGGCACCTGTATTCTCTCACATCCTTGTTGAGGACACAGTAGTAGAAAAAGCACTGGCCCAGAAACCAGGAAACTGGGTTTGACATTGATGTTGTGCCATTGAAGCAGCGGTTGGCCTTGGGCAAGAAATTGAACTGTGTCTAGGACCTGATCCTGAGTCTATAAAATGGTGGACAAATCCTGCTTGCCACAGCAATTGGGAAACAGGAAATAGGGGAATATATGGGAAATTTCTTGAAAAGTATGCAGAACTGACTGGCACTATGATATTCTCAATTTAAAAAGAATTTATTGATTATAGAGAGAGAGGGGGGAGAAGGGAGAGAGAAAGAGAGGAAAACACTGATTTGTTGTTCCACTTATTTATGCATTCATTGGTTGATTCTTATATGTGCTGTGACTGGGGATCGAACTCACAACCTTGGTGTATCAGGATGACCCTAGAACCAACTGATCTGCCTGGCCAGGACTTAAGATATTCTCACCTCTTGGGGACAGGTTTCTTTGGCTGAATTATTCCTAACCACCAATAGTTAAAGTTATTAGTCATGGCCTTCCCTGCCCTCCAGTGCAATCTCCCAGGACCACTCTCACTTCCTCCACTGCTTCCTGTCCCCAGGGGCACCCTCAGACCAGGCTGTTTTCCAGACCATGCCCTTCACAGTCCTCAGGCACCCCAGACCACTGCAGGCCCTGGGCCGTGGAACAGGAAAGCTGGGTGAGGGCCAAGGCCCCTTTCTCAACAAATGTTCACTCTCCTCTCCTTTGGTGGCAGGATGGGCAACACTCCAGATTCAGCCTCAGACAACCTAGGCTTCCGCTGTGCTTCCGGTATAGGCCGGTTACCTGGGGAGCTGTGAGCAGCCACACAGGGCCAAGGAGAAGACCCCATGCCGCCCTGGCCACATTCCAAACACAGCCAAATTCAAGCTCTTCAGCCTCAGCCTCAGGAGTGACTGCCTTCCCCTCCCCCATCCCTTTGTGACAGGTACCTCTCACCAGGGCAGGAGAGACCTCTGACCTCAGAGGACGCCACTGTCTCTTGGTCAAGGGGCCTATCTCACGGATTGTGGTAGGGAGCTGGGTGTTTCTTTTAGAGGTCAAATATTAACCATATAGGGGCCAAATTCTCAAACAATTGAGGCAGAGTACTCCAAAAAGCAGTTTGTTTAAAATTTTTAAATCTATTCCCTTCCCCCATCTCGGTGTCTGATTTCAGGGATCTGGTGGTGGTTTCTCAGGGTAGAATTTCCCCAGTTCTCTGTTTACCCAGCAAATTGCTGTAGAAAAAAAAAACCGCTTCCTTCATTTGTCTCATTTATAGTGTTTTATGTGCCTCTGAAGGAACCTGATTTCCACTAGCTGTCCGTGAATTGCAGTAACATGGGCTCTTTTAAGGCACAGCGTCAGTCTTTAAAGGGCGAGGAGGCCAAACTGTGTATCGCGTAAGTCACAAAGTAATAATCTCCCAGAAAGACAAATGCGAGACGTTTCCCTTTCTATTGTTAATTCCGTAGGGGCTTCTAGATGCCTCTAGAAAACTGTCCCCTTGAGAAGAACCTGCGCCCGTGGACATTGTGAGGCCAGTAAAATCTCCCACGATCGCGCATCTCAGACTGTTGCCTGGCCTTCGTTCTCACTCTGGGACCCTGAGGGAGGTGCATCCTGGTGTCAGTAGCTCTGGGCCTCCCATGAGAAGCTGAGGCAGTGGCACAACCAGCTAGAAGAGGAGTGGGACGGCTCCTGGCGGTCGGACCACATCTGGTCCCTGGCCTGGCCCCAGCTGCACTTCCCACTGTGTGGTGGGGGTGCCCTGCTCTCCTGCAGAGCCTCTGAGAGGGGGTAATGGCCCAGGCCCAGGAGGCCTGGTTAGGAGCAAGTCTGCCCTCAGCACAGAGGCCAGCACACAGTCTTCCCTCTTTGACTAACGCTTCTGTGGCTTCCCCTCCCTGCCTGCCCCCTGCTCCCCCAGCCCTCCCACCAGCACCTCAGTAGTCCTCCTCAACCAGGGAGAGGAGCACGGCCTTGGGTGTGTTCTCAAAGAGGGCAGCCCGGTTCTGCTGCTGGCCCTTCTTCACCCAGTGGCCGTAGATTCGGAAAGCATAGGCGTCGATGAGTCGGCGCAGAGGCCGGAGGGCGTAGGGGTCACGAATGACGATCTCCCGGGTCACAGGCTTCACCCGGTGGTACTGGTAGTAGATCCGCACTGAAGCCAGCACCGTCAGAGCGATCACCTGCGGAGGGCCAGGACTGAGAGCCTGTGCCAGCCCCTGCAGGCCTGTCTCCTCCTGCTGCAGTGCAGGCGGGCTCTGGGCTTGTGTGCCTTGAAGGCCGGGGTGGCTTCCGCTGGGCCCCTCCAAGTGCTACTGCCATTAGTACCCCACCAGCCAGTCAGGTGACATCTGTCTTCCCCAAAGCCAGAAATACCCCAAACCAGCCTGGGTAGGTGGGAGGTGAAGGGCAGGTGCCCTGGAAACCCCAGGCGTGTACGTAGCAGTCCCTGGGGGGAAAGAAGAGGACTTGGCGGACAGCAGTAACAGCCCCGTGCCCAGGGGTGGGAAGGGAGCTGCAGTACCTTGAACTTCCCCCTGGGGCTGAAGTGGCGCACTTCTTCCACATCGTACTGCTGGAAGAAGGGATGCGCAAGGGCCTCTTCTGCTGAAAGGCGGCCCTGAGGGTTCACCACCAAGAAGCGGGAAACCTGAGAGAACAAGGGGGTGGGGACTGAAAACATCGAGGCAGGGTCCCCTGCAGCCCTTCAGAAGACAGAGGGTGTCTCCTGGCAGACTCTCATACTTCCCTCTCCCCCGTGGCAGACCTCCCCCCTTGCCTGAGCCTGGGAGCCAGCAGGCCTGGCCCCTCACCAAGTCTTTCACGGTGTCCGAGTAGTCATCCCACTCAGGTGAGCCAAACTGGTAGTTGCCACTCATGATCATCCTCAGCATCAGCATCTGCTTCCGGTGCCAGAAGGGCGGGGAGCCGGCCAGCAGGGTGTACATGATGACCCCCGTGCTCCACCTGGCACCAGGGAGGAGGGGAGGAAGGCAGGAGGGCTGGCTGTAGCCCCAGCCAGTCCCTCCCCTCCACAGTCAGTGGCCCCTGTCATGGTGGCATCCCTTCCCCTGCCCAGACACACTCACATATCCGCCTCCTTCCCGTAGCCTGGGTGGTCTTCGTTCATCGAGCACTCAATGATCTCAGGGGCCAGGTAGCTGGGAGTGCCACAGATCTCTGTGGGAATAGTTACTGTCAAGATAGGTCAGCCAAGGCACTTGGAAGAAGAAGGTGCAAAGAAATAAGATGGAACCAAAATGGTATTTGGGCTGGGACTCTCCTAGCACTGGCCAACTTCAGGGCCAAGGGGAGGGGCGAGGGGTGGCTCGTAGGGCCACGCACTTGGGGCCTGTCAGTTCCTTGGTTACGTCTAGCCGTTCTGGCCTAGAACTCAGGCAGTGAGAACCTGGCTCAACTCAGTCCCGAGAAGAGGTCCTGAATGGAAAGACACCCAGCCCTGAAATGATAGGATTTTTATTCTGGGGGCTAAGGCGAAGCAGGAGAGAGACCTGGGCAGTCTGTGTTTCTGGGAAAGTTGGTGAGAAAGCCTGAGCCCCTGGCATGGGCCAAGACCACGTTACCAGACCTCGTAGCTTCTGTCCTGGCTCCAGCTGGCAGGAAAAGCCAAAGTCTGTGAGCTTGATGTTCATGTCATCGTCCAAGAGGATGTTCTCGGGCTTCAGATCCCGATGTACGATGTTGAGTTTGTGCAGGGTGCAGATCACCTCCAGCAGGGACCTCATAATCTTCCTGGGGCAGGACAGGCACATGTTATCTCTCCTACTCTACAGGGTCAGGTAGCAGGCGGGGAGACCAAAACCCACATACCAGCCAGACTGCAAGTGCGAGAGGACTCGGGACAGTCTGGGACAGTCTAGGCTGAGCCAAGGAGGGAGGGAGGTCACGAAAGCCAGCAGTGCACACCCCCGCCCAGACACATGCACTGCACGTGCAGAGCCTGTGGCACTAGGACTCGGGCAGGGAGCGGGGAGAGGGGCAAATGGATCCTCACCTGGTTTCCTTCTCACTCAGGGTGACCTTCTCAGTGAGGTAATCAAAGAGCTCCCCTCTCTTCATCCTGTGGGGACAGAGGGTTTGTAGCTGGACTGGTCCCAAGACCACCCCCTCTTACCCTGCTCCTGGAGAGCTGTCTCTCACCCTAATACCTCCAGAGGCAAAGGACCGAAGTCTGCAGGGAGGAGGGGGAGCGAGTGGGGAGGTGGTCTGGGAAGACCGGGAGCAGTGCGAGGGAGGCTGGACGGGTGGAATGGCCCGGTGTGAGGCCTCCCCCATCTGTGGAAGTGATGGCGTGGACTGGGCTGTGTCAGGGCCGGGAGGTGAAACACTGGTCCAAGGGCCCAGACCCAAATCAGAAGGACAGGAGTATCCTGGTTTTTTTCAGGAACAAACAGAAGTGGCAGTACAGGTGTGGGAGGAGCTGTTTTGCCTGTTTTAGGATTAAGAGTTGCAGTTCAATCTTCTCACTTGTTGGGATTATCTATAAAGAGGTCTCTGCTAGAACAATCTCGTTATAACATGGAGGGCAACTTGGGGCAGCTTTAAAAATAGATTCCACAAGCAACTTCTTCAAAGGTTAGAGACATCTGAGCTGCCCCGAAGGACAGTGCCACTGAGCAGAGCCGGGACAGCTGAGGCCATCTTCCCGGACAAACAGGGAGGCGCCCCCTGCCCCCTCTCACCCACCCGCCCTCCAGGGAAAGATTCCCAGGGCATAAGGTACTTCGACAGTGTTACAGAGAGGCAAGGAAACCATTGAGCTTAGCTGCTAGGGCAGGGAGGGGTGTTCTGTTTTGGAACAACAACAAACAACCTAGATTTTACAGAGGTAAGGTTTCTTTTATACGATATCTGTACTGTGTTCCTGAAAAGCAACATGTGAATCCAGTTTTTGTCATCTTAATTCCATTTTAAAGACACCAGGAAGATTCACTATTAGCAATAGCAGCAGCAGCAAAAAGATTTACCTGTACGTGCTGGGGACTATGCAAGGTGCTTCAGCAGGCGCCTGCCTTTCTGGCGCTGGCGGGTTAATTGTGTACACACACCAGGTTAAATCGTTTCTCCAGGAAAAGTAATACTGCGTACGTTCTGTATGGCTACTGCATGAAATGTTCCAACAATACAAAATCTACTTGAATCATTTCCCAAGAAATTGAGGCCCTAAACTAGCTGTTATGTATGGAGAGATCGAGACGCCCCTTTAACAGTGAATCACACAGCAGAGAGTTCTGTTCTTTAGGGAGGACTCAGTGGAGTGAGGACGAAGGAGTCAGAGAGCTCCTTTCCCCCGGAACCTTTCCTAACAAAAATGGTAATAATGACTGAATGCACTGTTCACCAGGCCATTTGTGTTGCTCAGCTTTGATACTTAGAGCCTGGTGACGTAGGCAGAGTGGCCAGTAGCATTGGCCTTTTCTTGAGAAAACAGAGGAGCTCATGTCAATAGCCCTGCTGCTGGTGCAGCAGCGGGGGACCAGGGACACTGAAGGGGACGCTGAGGTCCGTCTGAGAACCGCACCCCAAATACAACCTCTGCCTCCCTGGGTCTCTTGCCTCAATGCAGCTGCCCCCTCCTTTCCACTGTGGCCTCCCGAGAGTCAGTGGGACCTTTTCCAAAAGTGAATCAGCTCACAACACCCTTCTGATGTCCCCCTCCAAAATCCTCACCACGGCTAAAAGGTCTGCAGAATCAGGTCTGTGGTACTGACCGACCTCGCATCCTGCCATCAGCGTGAGCTTGCTCCAGTCCCCCACCCTGGCTTTCTTGCCAGCCCTCCAACTTGACGAGCCCCTCCTTCGGGGCCCCTGCTCTGGCTCTCTGTCCCCTGGAAGGCTCCTTCTCCGGGCTTTGGTCGGATTCCTCCCTCACTTCATCTGGGTCTCTGCTCAGGTCGCCTCCTGAAGAACCTTCCCTGACCACATCATCTAAAGGAAAGAAGCCCCGCCTCTCTCTAACTGCGGTTCACCTTCATCTATTACATATGACATAACAACATGCATGCATTATGGCTTGATGCTTTCCGTTCACTGCCTATGAAAATTCTTACACGAAGTCAGGAACCTTATCTATCTTGTTCATTGCTGTATCCTCGATGTCTAGAAAAGTATTGATGACCACCATATCATTGTGAAGCTAATAGTTATTAGCATTTACATGGTGTCAGGAACTGTGCTATTATTACTGCCACGATACTGATGAGAAAGAAACCTGGTGCTTAAAACATCCAGCACATAAGTGGAGCCAGGATTCAAAACCTGGCAGACTGACCCCAGGGGCTGATCTGCCTAAAACATTCGTGTTCCTATTCAGCGTCCACAGTGTAGTGAACTGGCTGCTGGTCCCCAGGAAGCCCTGGGTGGGGGACCACAGTGCTATGCCCTCAGGGTATGGCTGGCACCAGGGCCGGGTACTTACAGATCAAACACCAAGAAGAAGAAGGTGTTGTTCTCATAAGTGTCCTTCAGCTGTACTGAAATGGAAATGGCTGGCTTGTCTCAGGGAGCAGAGGAGCCTGGGCAGAGGCAGTGGGGCGTAGGGGCAGGGGGATTAACGCTGCTGGGGCTGGCTTGAAAAGTGGAAGGGAGTCTCTGGAAGGTTCTCAAAGGAGGCCCATGGTGGGTGGAGGGGGCAGGCTCAGGGACTTCACACCCCATTTCCCCACCCTCACCCTCACCCAGCCCCTGCCCCTGCCCTGACCCCTTCTGTATGGTTGGAAGAGGGAATGAGAGCGAATCCCAGAGATGTCTCCCTGGAGGTTGGAGCTGGGAACCTCAGGCCTTAGGGCAGGGGGCTGGTGGGGCCTCAGGGTGCAGGAGGCATGCTGAACTGTTCTGGCGAGCCACACGGTGGGGCTGCACTCCCTGACTCGGGTTATCAGGGCAGGAGCAATGGCAGAGAACCCCACTGTAGCTCGGAGCTATCACTTACTTATGTTGGGGTACCCTGACACCTTGCGCAGGATGTCCACCTCCTTCAGCGTGGCCTGTCGCAGCTCCTGCACCTCCTGGGGGCTGAAGCTGCCCCCGCCGGTGATGTCAATGATCTTCACGGCGTACTCCTTGCACGTGGGCTTGTGGATACAGCGCCTGACAACACTGCTCACTCCCCTGGGAGGTGCAGAGGACAGATGGTCCCTGGGCCCCTCACTCCAGGGTTTGTCCCAAGTCCAGGCCCCAGCAGAGATGTCCTGCCTTGTCCCCCAACTCTCTGTGAGCTTTTGAGGCGGTAGGGTGAGAAGGCACAGAGATGGCAATTGGCCTGAAGCTGATGAGTAACAAGCCTGGTGTCAGGCCTTTTAACTCCCAGTTCACTGTTCTTTCACACATTGGCCAAAGCTTCCTCTGACCCCTGGCTCCTGACCCTGGCCCAAGGCTGAGTTTGCACCTGCTTGTCATCAGCACCTGTAAGGGTTGTGGGAAGCTCTTTGCCAGGAGAGGTCTCTGATTTGCATCCCTTATAACCCCTTATCTGTCCTGTTCAGGAGAAGAGAACCCAAACTGAGGGATTCTCCAAGTGCACGGTGCTTTGGGGATGGAAATGGGCTCCATGCTCAGGGGCAAGCAGAGACTGGCCCACCCTGCAGAGCCAGCTGGAGCCTAGGACAGCATTTCCCGGGGAAAGTCTGGGCCGTACCTGCCCAGGATCTCCTTGGTCTCATAGTTCTCATAGAAACCCTGTGCGGAATGTGAGTCCGGCAGGGCCTCGTCCCGTGTCATGCTCAGCTCCGTGGAGGTGATCCTGAAGGGCTCTGAGAGGGGAACAGGGAGAAGCAGTCAGCCTTCCTGACCTAGTGGGTGTGCTCTTTGAAGGCTGGGACCATTTTTTCACCCACCTGTGTCTGTCTCTCCTGGCACGGGCCTGGCCTATTGTGAATATTAAAACTAAATGACTTGGAATTGGAAAAACATTCTGAAAAGAGCCCAGCATTGTTCTTCCCACTGGCTGTAAACTCTTGTGAGCCCAGGCCACGGCGTCTCCCTGCACGGTCTCGCTGAAAGCTGCTGCCCCCTTGTAGGAGAGAGGCCGAGTCAGCCGGGCCCAGGCCCAGGCCCAGGCCCAGGCGTGTGACAGAACATCAGGCCATCAGGCCCCACGGTTTAGCCTTGAGGAAATAGGCACACCCTCGATTTTAGAAAGAACCACAGAGAAACTTTGCAGAGGACAAATTAAAGTGCTGTTTCCTTTCCTCTCTGAGGCTGGTGCTTCTCTTTCTCTGCCTGCTCTTTGCACTTGTGGAAAAGGCAAAAAGCTTCATAATTTCACCTTCTTCTTTTATGTTTTTAAGATCCTCACCCAAAGATGTTTACTGATTTGAGAGAGAGAATGAGAGAGAGAGAGAAACACTGATCAGCTGCTTCCCATACACAGACAGGGATGGAACCCACAACCTTTTGGCGTATGGAACAGTGCTCCAACCGACTGAGCCACCCAGCTGCAGCACAATTTCTTCTTAATATGCAGCTCTTACAGCCTCCCCTTACCTACCCCTGTCCTAACTGTCTGAATCTGAAAACACCCCTTCTTTCAGAACATGCTTCCGGACCTTCCCAGCGCTCCTTCCTCACTTATTTTGTCCTTACCCCGGACTTTCAAATCACTCTTCTGTTCATTCATTCTTCTATGCTCTTTGCAAAGCACTGTGCCAAATGCTCTGAGGGCTGCAGAGCTTGATGGGGAAATCCTGGTCCCGGCCTCTGCTACCACTTATCAGCGTGTGCTGTCATCTCCCCCATGACACTGTGGTCTTCTCTAAGGTGTCCCACCCCGGCCACCCCACCCCTCTGTGCCCAGTGCAGGTATGTAGCAGGTGCAGCTCCCTAGAGGAGAGTTGGTGGTTGGAGGTATCCCTTTCATCCATGGTCCTGTCGCCAGAAAGCCCCCATCCTACTTAACAATGGCCAGGGAGCCCCGAGGGGTCCTGCCACAGTGTGGGGTGTACAGAGCTAGGACATTCAGCCCTGGACACAGGAGCTGACCCAGCCAGCTTTGCTTTGCTATGTAGAGGCCCATGGTGTACTGACCTCAGATGAAGGATCTGAGGAATGGAGAGAGTCATCTACCAGTAGGAAGAAGAGCAGACAGAAAAAACGAACATAAGCTGCCACTCAGCAGAGCCAAAACTGCCTCTAGCCCCACTTCCACTGCCCTTTCAGGGCCCAGCGAGGCCTGGCCTGTCCGAGGGGCCAATCTGCTGACCAGCCAAGCTGCAGCCCTGGCTGCCTCAGGACTCAGGCTGGCTGTTCCAGGAAGCCTGGTGTCCCCACCGCTGGGTATCTGGTTCTGAGAAGAAGGGTAGGAATAACAGTCTCTTCTGCCAGCAGCAGGTTCCTGGGCTGTTCGCAGGCCGCTTCTGCCCTATCAGCAACTTCAGCTGAGTACATGGGAGCCCATTCTCCATAAAAACAAGCTGATTTCCTGGCAAGTCCTTTTAAGTTCCCAAAGCTAGGTGGCACCAGCTCTTTCCCTTTCTCCATCCCTCCATGGGCAGAGGGTCTATCTGAACCCACCACAGGATGCCATCCTGGCTGGGGGATCCATTCCATGGCCTGGACATCAGGCCATCAGGCCCCAAGGTTAGCCAGATGCAGCGAGTTCTGACTGCATTCTCTCTCCCTGGGGTGGGGGCGGGGAGGTTTCTCTTGCCTCCTGCCCTTGCTCTAGGCCTAAATTGGGGCTGATTTTGTGCCTCTGTTCTCTGTCCCCAACTGCTCCCCTCACAGTTTCCTAGATCCCTTTGAAAAGGGTTGGCAAATGGGTTTAGTTCTTTCTTGAGTAACATCCTCCCTGAGACTCAGAGGCTGAATACAGTCACAGGGACCCACTTTCTCTAGATAAATTCCTCTGGAAGGGGCTTCAACAGCCAGTGCTACTTTTCTGTCCATCTGCCTTCAGAAGGGAGAATGGGGCTAAGGGGTTTTGGGGGTTCTATCTTCTCTGCCCCTCTCCTGCTCCCTGTCTGCCACCTGGCTTTTGTCCATCACTGCACCAGCTACTCACCGTTAGGTCCTTGAAGGCCCTTGAATGAACTTGACAGGCAGGAATCGCAAAGGTCCCAGAGCCCCTTGGGGAGAGGGGACAACAGAGGACTGAGGGGTGTCCCAAGGAGACACTCGTGGCCAGAGCAGGATATTTTGCTGCTCCTCCTTCCTGCTTTGCTTCTTGATGAGGCAAGGCCAAGGTGCCAAAAATAAATCGCAACTGCAAACCCGGGATGCAGGCCAAGTCTCGCCAGGGGTGACCTCTGGCGGAGGGTGAGGGAAGTTCAGGTGACCTGGGACCAGGCATGGCAGCCTGAGGTGACCAATCTTCCTTTTGGAGCTGACTTTGCCTCCAGGCCCAGTGGATATAAAGCCAACCTGCTTCTCTGGGAGCGATTTCCGTTTGCGGTGATCAGGAAAACAGCACACTGGCACACCCACTGCTGTGTTCAGACCTGCTCATCAGGATCTGCTCAGGGACAGTGCAGCTGCCCGACAAACTGCAGACCTTAAATGTTAGGGAACGTCTCCTTCAGGAGTTGACCTCTGATCTGCCTCCATGATTTCACCCTTAACTCATTTTGTTTTCAGCCTGCAGTATCTCCTGGGGAGAGTTCTGTGTGCTAGGAAAAGCACACGGGTGATTTGGGTGATGGCCCTCATCAGCCTCTAGTCTTGAGGCCGACAGAATTGGAAATAGTGTACGAAACATGCTGGCACACAGTAGACACTTGTTTATTGCTCTCCCCATTTCTAAAGCAACCTTTCTTCAAACCCTTAATTCTAACAAAATGAAGGGAGGGGCTGAGCCCATACACACCCATTTGACTAACATCTCACAAAGCACTTCACTTGGACCCCAGAACTCTGGAACTAGTCAATTTCTGGAGAATGTGACTTGTTCACCATCAAAAACTAAATGAGGGCCTAGGTTGACCTCAGGCGTGGGCTCAAGTACTCTTTGTGTTTTGTCATGCTGACCATCTCATTTTCATTTAGGAAATATTTCACTATATTGTTACACAGAAAGGAATTGATAATGACTTCAGGATAATAGTTTTATGCATAAAGGTCTTCAGCTTATTGAGAACATGTGGCTCCAAGGATGAAAACACCTCCATCTCTTTTACTTCCTGTCAATGTGCCTTTTCTTTTCCTGGTTCTAAGCTAGTAAGAACTCATGCTAGTTTTTCAGTGCGTGAGAAACTCTCTTCTGATCTAAGGGCAAAATGACACTGCACCTAGAGGATTATCTCACGCCCTTGTCGGTGGAGCAGTGGTTCCTACCAGGGAGGCCAGGCCAGCCAGACTCTTGCACTTTAATGGTGTCATTGATTCAGCTTCCTTTGACTCACATTTACTGGTAACCGTATTTGGGTACTCACTATATAACGTCACACCTTAGACTTAAGGGCATTGACACTATGAACTTAGAAGTCCTGAGCCTCCAGGAAAATGGGCAAAGGAGCTTCCTGATGAACTCAGGTGGGAATATGCTGGAACACTGACTGTAGTCATTCAGGTGCTCAGGGCAAGGAAGTCTTGGCCCCTTCTGGGAACTGAATGATTTACTGGAATACAGCACCCTAAGAACACAGCTGAGAACAGGAGGCATCTGGATTAATTTCCTCATCCAACATCAACCCACTCACCTTGTAAAGGTTTCTAAGACTTGGAGAGAAAAATCAGGAAACAGAACCTCTGAAAGTACATTTTAAAGTTGGAAAAGTGCAGAAGCCCGATTTAGACTTGGAGGTCAACTCCTATGTGAATAAAATGTTTAGTTCCTTGAGGTTTGGAGCTTGGTTCATTTTTTAAAAAATGATGTGCCTCAAACATTAGAAAAACACTCGCAGGGGAACTGCTTGCATTAATAGAATGGTTTTCATCTAGGACCAGCTAACTGGATATTCTAGGGTAACAGTGACATGTAGTGCTGACCCGGCTACAGGGAACCCATTTATCTATCACTCACCTGATTAGAGCAATTATTTTAGAGTTTGTTACCGCTCAGTTTATTGAACACTGACTCCCAAGGCCGAGAGTGACTGGAAACTTTTTAATAAGCAGCATGTTTGCAAGTGAACTACTCCTTATGTAACTATTTCTCCACAAAAGTTCCTCAGGGAACTCTACCAGATCCTCTGGGTGGATGCTCATTTACTATCCAGAGACTATAAACTAGATAAACTTAAATACATGTTGAGACAATTAAGTTCTTCTGCAAAATACTTACATATACCATGGCATGCATATACCATATCTAACTTATAAACTCACATGTATCAGACACCATTTGGGAAGAAATTCACTTTATTCTAATTGATTCACAAACAGTAACATCACAAAAGCTGATTTAAGAAGGCCACACAAACATCTGCCCAGCCCCAAACTCAATACCATCTCAGGGAGCTTCCATATAGTATGAACACTCTTCCACTGCAATTCTGAGGCAAGGAAACTATTAATGATAGGAGAGATTTAACTGGTACTCTTATACTTTCACTATAAATTATATCTTTATACTAAATTAACTTGGATCATGAGAGATGATTTTCCATTTCTTCAATATGAACTTCTCGATTAGGCTAATCCTGCAAACGAAAAAACGTACATTAGAACAGCACTTGCTGTACAGTCTTAACAGAAGCCCTTCCCAAAACCCAGGTTTCTTTTGTAAGTTACTGAAGGTATCCTGAAACCAATAAAACCTCAACTCTGCATTCACAACTGAGGAGAGTCAGGGCACATGTGCTTTTGGGGACAGAATCCTGAAGCAGACATTTAGCTACTTTGATGCTGGATGTAGCTTCACCAGAGAATTCTGACAAACTCAGCCACTCAGTCTCCTCCTACTTCCACAGTTCAATCACCTGAAAGGGGTAACTTCTCCCTTATGCCCTACCAAAATGAAGGTGGGAAAACAAAAATAGCATTTTAATAGATAGTGAATTCTTAGCTTGATAGAAGGAAATTAAATGACAACAAGTTGATATTACAGAAAGCCTAAATAAGCTTATTCCTCTCAAATGAGGCATGTAGAATGGCAATATTAGAGTCTTTATGTGCATTCCTGGGACTCTGGTGAAATGGAATTTTGTATTCATAGCCTGAAGTCTAGATCACTCACATGCAGTTAACCACAGAAAGATCTGACACACTAATCTATTCTTAAAGAAGAATTAGATTCAAAACATAACTGGTAAAAGATTAAGATAATGACTAAAAATGACCTCAGGACCAGCTCCTAGTTAGAAGTTAGCTTATTTTTAGAATAATTTAAACAAAATCTTCCATAATTTGTCAGTTTAATTATTAAACCAGGTTCCCTAAGTTCTACAAGGTCCAGGAGCACCACCACTAAATGAATCAAGCACACACCAAGTGAAATCATGGAATGATCACTTACCATTTGCAAATCTGCACTGTTTCAGCACCTCGCTGAAACCCTCACAAAGCTTAAGGTCACTCTGGTTCTGTGCACACTCCAAAAACTGTTTCATCTCATAGTGGCATGGGCCAAACTGCTGCTGCTGCTGGTATTCTGGCTGAGTTCCCTGAGGCTCCTGCAAAGGCATAACATTCAGGAACGTTCAGGAATGTTTGGAAAGGAAATCAGATTTACACCTGAACAAGCGTAGCATCCAATGTCTTTGATGTTAACTGGGCAAACAAACAGAACTAAACCTAGTGGCAAACTGAAGTTTTCATCTAATAACATGGAGAGTAAAATATTTGCAAGGCAGAAAATGAACTTTAGCAGAATTCCAATTGTAAACACAAAGATTCAAGAATAAAGGTGCAAATAAAGTGAAATGGCTACTTGAACATTTAATGACCAGTGGTTTAGTGAAGTTTCATGGAGAAAAAAATGGGACTGTTATGAAAATAAAAGTTTACACCCATGCTCTTCAGAGAAAATTCACATACCTCAGGAAATAGGGGCAGTAGCAAATGTCAGGTAAAAGAGATCAGAGAGCAGAAAGCTATTCAAGCAATTTAAAAAAATTCTTAACTAAGATTGAGACTGAATTAGTTAAGGGTAACCAAGACAAAAATATTTAACATAAGGAAAAATGGCTGCTTTACAGTGAATCAGGTCACACTACTACAATTCTACTCCTTGGGAAGAATTACAATTTGTACAGTACTTGATGATGCTGGCCTAAGGCACTAATTCAGCTGCCAAATGTGGCTTTTGATAAAACATTTTTTGTTAGCATTGTAGATAGACAGTTCTTACATATAAGAAACTTTAATTAGGTTTTCTCATAAATTATACCACTGAAGGGAAACACTGCCCCAAATCTTACCTGGTAAGTGATGTCAGGCCTTGAGGTCTCAGCACTGCTTCCTCCACTGAGGCCCCCAGTTATGGCATGACCTATGGTGTGGCCGACAGCAGAGCCCACAGCCACACCAGCTGCCGTGGTTGCCATCTGGGCCATGAGACCTGGCTGCCTGGGGGCAGCAGCAGGAGAGCCCACAGCAGATGGTGGAGCCGGTGCTGGTGGCTGAGCTGCTGGAGCTGGCCTGGGCGCAGCTCTCATCTGAGGTGCCCGGCTGTAAAAAAAAATAAAATAAAATGCAGTTTCCACTTCCAACCAGGTTTGGAAATTGTCAACTTAGAAAAAATTTGTACATTAAAATAAGTGTCAGATTTTCATTTTAAATGATTAAACATAAATACTATATCCACTTACAAGAAAACTTCATAGGACACAATTACCTACATTATTTCATCACATTTTTTCTCTTTAACCTTTGGTTAAGGTTGTAATCACCAAGTATAAACTATTTTGTTTCTGCTTTTTGGCAACCATTTAGTCACAGAGCCTACAGTATCTTTCAGTAAGTTATTTCAATACTTCATAAAAGTTACAAAATATTACGGGTTTAAAATATCCTCGCAGAATTCATCACGTGTTAGGAAAAAAAAATGTATCAAGAGAGAAAGAGCCTTTTGTGGGATGTTGTAATTTAAGGATAGTCAAGGGGGGGTCTCCCTGCTAACATCTGAATGGACCGTCCAATAGTCATCTGGAGGAATAATCTAGTTTAATTCCGACTAGAACACTGAAGCCCACTGACTGGAAGTGACTTGCCTGAACTGTCATACAAAGTTAATTTCAACTATTTCTCACCTGTAGGACGTTTGGACACTTTCGACAATTTCACTTATATGTCCCAGACTGCTTTAAAAATCTTCACATATATTATACTCTCTCTACCCATTTTTAAATTGTTTCCTTGGGTGTTCTTCCCCCAGATAAGGCCAGGTCAAAAGTTTGACTTCACTTCATAAAAATGTGGTTACTGGTGCCTTCAAGTTTCTTTTCCTAAGTGAACCGCTCCCCTACACTCCTAAGCACGCCGTAAGACTGAAATCCAGTGAAGCAAGATGGCACTGTGACAAATGTCCTGAATTAGTCCAGAAATGTCCTGGAAAACCTGGGTCTGAGACCTGGCTTGCCTACTTACTGGAGGTATGACCTTGGACAAGTCCTTTATCCAGAGTCTCCTGTTTCCTAATTTCTGTGAAGTAGGAATAACATCAATCTCTAGTGTTACCACCATGAGGTGTCATTGGCAGTACGTATTTCAGCTACGTTATTAACTAAAAAAACATGTAAACGTCGAGGGCCTTAATGATCGCGTCCCCAATTAGGCTGAGATCCTAAATCGCTCACTGCTTAAGATAGATGCTTGAAGATTATTCATTTAATTGAAATCCGATCTTCTTTCCCGGTTATATTACCTTTCTTCTACATTATTTTGTTTCTGATATTTCAGCCTGTTTACACTTATAAATGTCCATTTCTTTTTGCAACTTCGTTGCTTTAAATTAGAACGAGCTATGAGGTATTTTAAACAATTCACGAGCATTTGCCACTAACGGAAAATCTAGCCTGGGCCTATTTACAGTCGTCAGCTTGTGGCTGGCGGGGTCGAACCCACCCAGAAGCGGCCTCGCCCGCAGCCTTCGCTAGCTTCCGCCCGGCCCCGCCGAGGCCTAGCGCTGACTCCCTCTGTGTCACGGCCTGCGCAGGGCCCCAAACCCCGCAGTGGCCTCACCTGGCCGGAGGGGCCACGCGGGAAGTGCGACTCCGGCTTCCACGAGGCATCGCTACTGCGCTACGGCTTTTCCTCTGTAACTGCGAAACTCCGAGAAGATCCCGACGCCTTCTGGAAAAGGAGAGCGGAAAACAGGAGGCAGGCTATCCGCGCTCGACCAATCATTAAACAGGCAGAGCCCTTCCGCTCGCCGACGTCTCCGAAGCCCTGAAGGTCACTGGAAGAACGCCACGACGCGTCGGCGTCGGCGTCTCGTCGCGCGCGGTTGGCGTCAGGAGCTGGACGCCAGGACTCTTTAGAAAACCGGAAGTGTCTGTGACTGCCGGGTTAACCCTCTGTCCCAGCGTATCTTGAGTCAGAAGGGCTTGCAGGTTTGTTTCTAGCATTAGGACCGTTGCTGTATCCTTCAAACATTTTAGCAACGTGGTACGTCATATCCAGCCTTGAGAGTCAGAGCTGTGTCGGAACTATCACTGGACCTTGGGCCAATTACTTTACCTTTCTCAGCATGATTTGGATAATATTTCTTGAGGCACAGTGGGGCACGTAATATGAAGTGAAGGAAGTTGAAAACTTTAGGCAGGAATCGACAGTACAGAATGCATTTCTTTTGTCTGTGGTATCAGCTAGCTTCAGACTGTAATAGTGCCTTACATTTTATGTATACTATACATTTTCCACCCCTGTTTCATGTTTTGGAATTTGAGGCCATAAATGGGATAGTATTCACTGATAAAGAGGTGTTCTTACCAAGTGCCAGCTAGCTTAGTTTAGGGAGGGAAGACGCAAACACCTATATAGGTGGTGGTGACCCTTTTACCCTGCCAAAGCATGGTAAGAGAGATTTATGGTGAAGAGGACTGAATTCTTTGAAGACGCAATATTTGAAGAGAGTCCCTGAAGTGGGGAAGCAAGTCATGTGTTTATGAAGGGTAAGAGCATTCCAGGCAGAGGGAACAGCAATTGCACAGGTCCCAAGGGTCTGTGCTTTAGCAGTAGTTGGTGTGAAATGCTTTTAACAATAACATTTTAGAGCCTCTGCAGTAGGGGAAAAGCTGACCAGTGGCATTTCATGGGAAGGTCGTTGGAGCTGGGATGGGATTTAAGGAGCAGAGAAAGCTGAGGTGGAACCTCCGTTTCTACTGGGTATCCACCAGAAATTTCCCCTTCTACTGGAGGCAATGGAGTTTGACACAACCTTTCCAGCAATAGCAGGATGTTTGTGGAACCAAGGGGTAAATGCAAAACTTTTTCATGAAAAAGGCTTATTTCATTTTCATTGTACTTCGTAAAGAAATTAAAGCTTTATAAATGGTAAGACTTTGTACTTGCCTTTGGATAATTCATATGCAGAGACAGAAAAGGAACTTAATAAAGGACGCCCTGGCACAAGAACTTACAGGGAGAACTTTGGGTAATCCAGACAGACAGGCACTTCTAATATCTTGACTAAGCATTACTTCAAATTGAAGAGAGAATATTAAATGTTTGTACAAGATTATTATATGATAGTAGAAAACTGAAAACAACTTAATAATCCCGTTAGATTTCTGGTTACAAAAATCATGGCACAGCCCTGGCTGGTGTGGCTCAGTGGATTGAGTGCTGACCTACAAACCAAGGGGTCAATTTCCAGCTAAGGCACATGCCTGGGTTGCAGGCAAGTTCCCAGCAGGGGGAGTGTGAGAGGCAACCACACATTGATGTTTCTCTCTTCCTCCCTTGCCTGCTCTAAAAATAAAAATCTTAAAAATCATCGCACATTCACACAATATGTGGCTATAAAAAATAATAGAGCTTTTCTATTTATATGATTTCCAAGATAAACTACCAGGGGGGAAAAAGGGGGCAGGATTAAGTATAGTACAAGTTTGTGTACAATGGAAAAGACCATATTGCATATGCATAAAATATCTGCAGCTGTTAATGCTGCTTGCCTTCAGGCAGTAGGACTGGGTATCTGTGGCACGGGTGTCGAGTTTTTACTGTTAACATTTTCTATCTTTTGGATTTGTATCTTTTTGAATAGAGGGGATAATTACTGTATTCCCTCTATGCAAAAAACAAAAACATGCCAGAAGTTAATTAAAACTAGTTTAAAAAAGCAGAAATTGAAAATAAATGCTAGAATTCTGCTACGGATCACTTGTAGTTTGCTGGAGAGATGTGCTGAAGTACACTGTTTAGTAAAGTTTATGTAACTTCTCATTTCATAGTGATTTCAGTCAGTCTGAACAAATTCTCTTATGGTGACCATAACTTGAACAAAGAATTCTTACAGACATTATTACAGATATTTGACAGACATTTGACCGAATGCACTCTTGATGATTGCAGCAAAAATTCTACTCAAATTAAGCAGTAGATAACAGAATTTTTGAAATTATGCATTCCTTCCCCCATAAAACAAAATAAAATAGTGAAATTTCTGTTCCAGAAATTTCATGTCTAGGAATGTAAGAAACAGCAGTAAAAAAAGAAAGAAAAATAGTTATATGTAAAAAGAAATTTGTTATAAGGATATTTAACAAAATATATAAAATAGGAAAAACTTGTAAACAACCTAAGTGTACTATAATATAGTTAAATTATACATATATGTAAGGTGCTATGCAGCCATTTAAAATGTGAAAGAATATTTGACATGGAAGGTATCTTCACAACATGTTAAATGAAAGCAGTTTACAAAATAGTATACATAGTACATTTATATTTTGAGAAAATTTATATATTTTATTTTATTTTTAAAAAATATTTTGTTTATTTATTTTTCGAGAGAGGGGAAGGGAAAGAGAAACAGAGGGAGAGAAACATCAATGAGTGGTTGCCTCATGCGTCCCGTCGGGAACTGGCCTGCAACCCAGGCATGTGCCCTGACTGGGAATCGAACCGCGATACTCTGGTTCACAGGCCTGCGCTCAATCCACTGAGCTACGCCAGCCAGGTATATATTTTAAATACTGGTGTTATATACAACCAAGGAGTGACATTATCAATTGAGTAATGATTTCTTCATTTTGTCCATATTTTCCAATTTTTCTTCAATGAATATACCTGTATTAAACATACCATGGTGGTTTAAAATATTCACAAATTTATTATTTCTTTCAAAAGGTGGAGCCTGCCCTGGCTGGTGTGGCTCAGTGGATTGAGTGCTGGCTTGTGAACCAAAGGGTTTCCTGTTGGATTCCCAGTCAGGGCACATGCCTGGGTTGCGAGCCAGGTCTCTAGTAGTGGGTGCTTGAGAAGCAAGCACACATTGATGTTTTTTTCTCCCTCCCTTCCCCTCTGTTTAAAAATAAAATCTTTTTTAAAAAGGTGGAGCCTGTTCCTTTCTGGGGGGAACTTTGGCCCATGAGATTCCCCCGGGCTGCCACTGATGGAAATAGAGTCGTCCTGGATGCAGTCTTGTTGCTCCCGCTGCAAAAGGGGTGGCTATTCCTTCTAGGGGAGAATGCCCGAGCCCTTCTCTGACATAGCTTTTATTAGGGTTGGGAATTGCAGGGAGATACAGCAGAGGTGCATAGTTTATCAATCAGTGTCCAACAGGCTATAGTCATAAAAAACTAACACTATCTATAGATAACAATTAAATAGAAATCTTTTCAGGTTGGTGTCTGTGAGACATGCAGGCGCCAGATGGCTGTAAAGGCATATATCATGAAGTAGGGAGTTCCACTCCTTATGCCTTGAACTCAGTCATCCAGGTTATACTAACAGGGCTTACTGTTGAATAGAGCCAGCTTCAGAGGACAAAAATGTACATTTCAGGCCTGATTCCCACAGGACCCTCAGTGTTAGAATCGAGTCATGCTTGCCACCTGCATTATGACCTGGTTTTCCAGGGAGACTTACCAGCCCCTTTCAGTGCTTGCTCTCCCTCGGGGATACAATCTCCGAAAACACAGAGCGGGCCCCAACACCTTTCCCCTTATGTGTGAGCTGGATTTAGTGACTCTGAGTGGATAGAAAAAAGCAAAAGTGATGGTGTACAACTTTGGAGACCAGGTCTTAAAAGGTATTGCGGCTTCCTCCTTTGTTCACTCAGATCACTTACTCTGGGGAAAGCCAGCTGTCACATCGTGAGGACACACAAGCAACCTAATGGAGTCTCATGTAGCTAGGAAGTGAGACCATCTGCCAACAGCCATGTGAGTAAGCGAACTTGGAAGCAGTCTTCTGATGACTGGTCTCAGCTTGACTGCAACCTCACAGCTGAGTTAGGCCCACCCAATTAAGCTACTTTGAATCCTTGTCCCACAGAAACTGAGTTAATTGTTCTTTTAAGCCACTAGGTTTTGGAATAATTTATTACAGAGCAATAAATAACTAACTCACAATTTCTAGTTACCATATTTAAGTTGTAAACATTATAGTATCTAAAAATGAGAAAAATGGATGGGCTGGTCAAAAAGTTTTTTTTTTTCCCCATAAGATGGCTCTAGCAGCACTCAGTTGTCTTTTAACTTCATTTGAAATAATTTTGTTAGGTTGGATTGTGACACCTGTCATATCAGAATGCATGTTAAAAAATTGGTGAATTTCTGTGTAGTCATTTTAATATTGAAGATAGAATAAATAAGCAACATTTTGGCATATTATGCTTTATTATTTCAAAAAAGGTAAAAATGCAACTGAAATGCAAAGAAAGATTTATGTAGTGTATGGAGAAGGTGTTGTGACTTATTGAAATGTGTCAGAAGTGGCTTGTGGAAGTTTGTGGGTGGATGATGTTCCACAGTTGGGTAGACCAGTCAAAGTTGATAGTGATAGTTGATAGTGTCAAATTGATAACAATCAATGTCATGCCACGTGGGAGAGGTGGCCAACATACTAAAAATACCCAAATCAATAAAGTTATTGGACAAAATGAAAAATGGGAGAAAACTGAATGGACTTTTTGGCCAACCCAATAGTTAGAACACATTAGAGTTGCTTTAACATGGCTTATGTCTGTCTGGGTATGCTACACAGTAGGAATTGTGTAGGAACTGAGATGTTTGAAATAGTACACTCTAAATGTAGGGTGTTTTTTTAAAATAACTAAGACATACTTATATACAGTGCCTTGCACATATCAGACAAAAAGAATGAATGTATTTTTAACTGTTCATCTCAAAATACTATATGAAAAAGTAGTTAAGTGGTGTTTTACATGAAGTACTATAGAATTAGAAAGGAATGGCCTTTCAATGTGGTGAAGGCTTCAGGAAAAAAGTGCCATTTAAATAAATATAGGTGAAATTAGTTTCAGGATTAAAATTGTAAAAGGGGAAGGGCATGCTAAATAGGACAATACAGACTCAAATGAAAAAAAAAACAACAGAATTATGGTGAGGACAGATTTGTCAAGAGTCAGTGTTTTTGGAAATTGTGGAATTGTGGGTCAAATTTTAAGAAATTCAGCACAATGTGAGAAATCTAGGCTTTTTATCCTGTTAAGTTGATGGTTTTATATGATTAAAACACTCTTCAGGTAGATCCAAGTTTAAGCACCTTGCCCTTCAGTAGTTTACTCCAAAGCCAGGACCCCTACCATACTGTACTGCCTGATGCTGGAGATGTTTTAAAAGAATTAATGTAGCCCTAGCTGGTGTAGCTCAGTGGATTGAGCACAGGCCTGCGAACCAAAGGATCGAGGTTTGATTCTCAGTCAGGGCACATGCTTGGGTTGCAGACCAGTTCCCAGCTGGGGATGCACGAGAGGCAACCATACATTGATATTTCTCTCCCTCTCTCCTTCCTTTCCCCTCTAAAGATAAATAAATAAAATCATTAAAAAAAGAATTAATGTAGCCCTGGCTGGTGTAGCTCAGTGGATTGAGCGCAGGCCTGCGAACCACACAATCGCGGTTCGATTCCCAGTCGGGGCACATGCCTGGGTTGCACGCCAGTTCCCGGCAGGGGACTCACAAGAAGCAACCATCTTCCCTCTCTCCTTCCCTTCCCCTCTAAAAGATAAATAAATGAAATATTTTAAAAAAGAATTAATGTAGTTAGTGAAATAATGTAAGACTGCGCCCAGAGAGAGAGGAGGAGGAATTGTGTTCTGTAAACTTAAAAATAATCACCACTTATTATGCACCTATTATATGTCAGGCCTTTAACTCTGTCGGATGTTTCATAAATTTATCTATCATCCAGTTTGGCAAGGTAATCCAATATTACTCCCATTTTACAAATGAGAAACCTGAAGCTTGGTGGAACTTAAAAGTAGTTGCCACTCAGAAGTTTGCTGACCACCAGTGCGGTGGTCAGTCATAGCTAGGATTAATATTAAGGTTGCTCCTGCCAGTCCACACCATTCTGTCCTCACCAAGGACTCAAAACTGGATGTAGAGGCCTGTCTGAATGCAGACTGAAGATAAAAAGAAAGCTACCTTGCCATATTCTGCATACTTTTAAAACTAAAACTCAACTCTTATCCTTGGACATGGAGTTTGTGGGTGGTTCTGAACCACAGAATATTGTATGCAGTTGAGGAAAACTGTGATGCAAAAGTATGTTATACCCATCTTCTTTCTAACCAGCTGGGTGATCTCTGGGAAGCTGTGAGAACTTCCAAGCCTCAAGAATCCTCTCTATAGCCCTGGCTGATGTGGCTCAGTGGATTGAGCACCAGCCTGCCAACCAAAGGGTCACTGGTTTGATTCCCAGTCAGGGCACACACCTAGGGTGCCAGAGAGGCAACCACACATTGATGTTTCCCTTTCTCCCTTCCCCTCTCTAAAATAAATAAACAAATAAAATCTTTTTAAAAAGATTTCTCTGTAAAATAAAATGGAAATAACAGCATCTACCTCAAAGGATTGTTGTGGGATCTGCAGTGCAGAGAACCTAGCAATTGAAAATACTCCTTTCCTTGGAAAACAAATATTAAACCTGCACAGTAGCCTTTGACACGTATTGAAATCTTGTACAAATTCCTATCTTTGTTTTCCTCCCACCATTCATCTTTGTGATCTTTTTTCTTTACACAAAACACAAATATTTTTAGACGTGAAATGAGTTACCATAGCAACCAGCCCCCGCCCCCAGAGTTAAAATGCCACTTTTGCTTCTGCTCTTTTAATTAAAAACCCTAAAAAGGCATACCCATTTGGATGTCACTTAATTAACAACCAGTAAGGAAAAGATACTGAAGCACTAAACTTAACCGATGTCGGAAACAAATCTGTTGACCAACACGGATTCTCTCTCCCCCTTGGGACCAGAGTTACAGCTGGAGTCAGAGAAAATACTTTTATCAGGTCTTTCGGTATCCTGCAGAAAATCAGACAAAAAACAAAAATCAATTATTTTCTTTAGCCCGAGCATCAACACTGGAAGTAAATCCCTTTCTTAATTTTTTTAAAAGATGTTTTCTACGTTCCTAACACCTTCCACCAGTCCACCTGCAGGCGGAAGATAACCTGAGGGCTAAAGGGGGACACCTAAGACTCGCTAACGCGGGACGCCTCCGAAAGGGGGGACTGCCCGGGTCGAGTCGTAGGGGAACCCACGGACGTGGTCCACGGCGCTCACGGGGCTTCCCTGGACCCTGCTCGGTTGCGGCCGGTACGCACAGGCGAGGCGAGTCCGCGGTCGGGGCAGTAACTTGCGCTGGCGACGCTTGCGCTGGCCGTTGAGGAGTTTCTGTGTGATTTTGCGCTCGTGGCCACCAGGCACCGGCCAATTGGTGCGCAGTTCCCGCTCGCGCCGCGTCCGACCCTTGCTGTGCCCGGCCCCACTAGCTGGGAAGTCGCGCAGGTAGTAGTAATCGAGGCAGTCGTAGAGCTCCTCTTCCGAATTCACCCTGGGCCTCACCACTGGCGGCGGCGGCGGCGGCAGATGAGGGGCCTGAGTTGGGGCGCTGGGATGGACTGGGTCCATCGCGCCGGCCCGGCCCAGGGCCCACGCAGGCGCGCCCCTCTGGAGGCCCCTCCCGAGCCGCGATTGGCTCCGCCTGGTGGGTGGAGCCTAGGCATGACGTCATAGAGCCGGGCTTGTGCGCTCCCTAGATCTCTGCTCTCTAGTGGGGGAAATCCTCCCTGACCCCTTCTGGTCCCCAAGCCTGTGTACCCCTGACCCGAGATGGGGCGGTTGGGAAAATCCGACTGAACAGTTCCTTTGTGTTGGTCAAAAATGGTAAACTAACATGCACACAAGAAAGGCCATGTGAGGACACAGCAAGAATGTGGCCATCTGCAAGACAAGGAGTCAGGTCTCAGGAGATACCAACCCTGCTGACTATCTTGATCTTAAACATCCAGCCTTTACAAGTGAGAGACCAATTTCTGCTGTTTAAGAAAAAAAAAAGTAAACTATCCAAGTGTCCAGAGGGACTGCTTAAATGTGGGCTATAGACTCCCCCGGAGGGAGTTTATCAGTAATAAATATTTTGTTAAGGCTGTTTGATGCCAGCAGAAAGTGCTCAATAATGAAAGTGAAAAATTATCTTCTGAAGAAATAAATGCCTCCAGTATCCCAGGAGCATATTTTTAAAACACATTTGTCTATAAAAGACTAAAAGGAAATTCATCAAAATGCTAAAAGTAGTTCTGACTGGGTAGAGTTATATATTAGTTCACTTTCTTTTCCTCAAGTCTGTTTTTGAGGAGTAAGAGTTAATTGTATTAAGAGAGTGATTAGAAGGAAAAGCACTCTGCCTGCTGCAAGGCCCAGAACCTGCACAATTTCAGGTTATCCACAGGTGCCAACACCCCAAGTGTGGTAAGTTTGATGACTTGACCCGTTGGCAACTTGGAGTGAGGGCTGGGTCCTGAACTGCGGCATTGTGGAGGGTGCTCCAGAAAGCATCAGAGGCTAGAGGAGTCTAGTCAGGTGAACTGAGAGTTAGTAAATGCTGAGAGTTAGTTACTGGGAAGAAGTTCTTTGTTTTGCTTTGGTTTAACTATGTGGACAGAAGTATGAGGTTACTTTCCTAACTGGGCAGGTCATGGTGGATAGTCATGCCCCATGCTAACAAGCTTTTAGTAAAAGACTTAATCTTTGTTTTAAGCAAGCCGGGTTCATTGTTTCTATGCATTTAGATTAGTTCACATACCTTTGAATTAAACTGTAACCATCCTAAAGAGAGCACATGAGAAGCAAGAGAGCCTTGCTTCTCCCACCTCCCTGTAATCTTCCTTAAATTCACTCTTTAGTTTCAAATGCATAAAATAACCTGCAAAACTGTTATTCTCCAGAACATTTGAAATCTCGCTCCCTGGCAGATGTCATCAGTTTGTCTCGAATAAACTCATACAAAAATTCTCTACTGGTTTGAGATTTTCTTACATTGAAAACTACCACCCAATTACAGCCACCCCCTTGGGGATTTTCTCTTTAATAGATTGAAAATAATTCTCTAATTAAAAAAAGAAAAGGACTTCCCAGGTATTTGATCTTGTTGAGTTTGTCTGTGACCAAGTTGCTGATTTGAGTTTTTCTTCTGAGTTATGAAGCCTTATTCCTGGTGGGGCGTGGCCTACCTACCTCACTGAGCGCACTTTTGGTGGTACCTTAAATGAACAAGTCCCAGGAGAATGTTTTTAACTAGACACCAGAGGGGATTTTCTCTAACATCCATGTGTCTTACATCTGCTGCTGGGAAAAAGAGAAACTAATATTTATCCCTAAGTAACTCTCCCATACAATTGGGAGAGTTACTTTAAAAAAACCTCTTTAGAATTTGTCCTTATGGAAATATTCAGACATTCACAAAGGTGAAAAGAACAGTGAACTCCCATATCCCATCACAAGGATTCAACAGTTATCAAGATCCTGTCACATTTGCTTTATGTACCACATCCTGCTTTCCTCTGCTTCAGCATTTTTGATCAAATTGCAGACCTTATGTCATTTCACCCGTGTATGAGCATGTCTCAACATACAGCTCTAAAAAAAAAGACATTTCTTATATAACTGTAATGCCATTTTTATACCGGATAAAAAAATCAACTGTTCCTGTTATTATCTAACACCCAGCCCAAATCAAATCTGTCTAACAGACATCAAAATACATACAACTCAGAATGCTTACTAAATCTACATATGAAATTTGCTTGTATGGCTTTTAAATCTCTGATGTCCGAGCAGTCCCCCTGCCCTTTTCATTTTTCTGTCATTGCCTATTTGCAGAAACTGGGTCAATTTTCATGTAAAATGTGGATTTTTCTGCTTCCTGTGGTGTCATTTAACTTGTTCCTTTCGCTTCCATATTTCCTGTAAATTGAGGTTGGATCTACAGGCTTGTTTACACTCAGGTTCAATTTGGGGGCCAAGAAAACCTCCTAGAAAGTGGTGTGTTTTGGCAGCGCACCAGAAGATTTACAATGGCTCATTGTCCCAGTTTTAGTAATGCCATCACTAATCAGTGGACTCAGGTGGTGACAACATGTCCCTGTAATTGTAAAGTTTCACATTAAACTTTTTTCTTATGGTCGGTTTCATTTGTATTTCATTACTTTATGTGCTATTATATTCATTTGCTATGATTTTGTCAGGGGTTGTAAAATAGTAATTTTTGAATTCAATTGTTCCTTTCACATTTATGAGCTAGAATTCTTTCCCTCATGAAATACATTTTGACAAGAAAAGCAGGACAAATGCTTAATTCTTTCCATTTAAAGTTTGGTTTCCAGGGGTTCCAATGGACTTAACTTTTTTCTTGAGAACCATCATGAACTTGTGGACCTTTTAAAAACACAGTCAATATGTTTCAATCAATTTCATTCAGTTTTATTCTTTTTTAATGCTCCAATTTTTTCATTTTTGGCCAGTGGGAGCTCCTTCATGTGATTCTTCTGTATTTTTGGCATTAAGCTAGTCGTCTTGGAGAATGTATTCTGGTAAACGAAGATGTCCAGGCTCATCCTGTACATTTTATGCCCCAGATCTGGAATCAGCCATTTCTCCAAGGAGTCCTTGATCTTTTTAGTGTGGAAAATGGATTTAGAGACAACAGTGTTAATACTAAGTATATTATGTCCCTTGATCTTTATAAGAACCCTGTGAGATATTACTGTCCCAATTTTCAGGATGAGGAAAAGTTTAACAGCTTTCTCAAGGTTATATGACGTAAAAAGAAGAGCTAGACTGAGTGAGATCTTCCGACACCTAGGTAATGTTTCTTCCACATTTTACTGTGCCTCTCGGTATGAACTCATTACTTTTCAGTTCATAGACAGATTGCTAAACATACTTGACATCCTAGCTTCTGAGATGGTATTTAAAAGCAGGTGCTGTTATCTGTCTTTCTTTCCTACCTGAAGACTCTAAGCTAATGCCAATGAACCACTGTAGTAAGATTTAAAAATTTTAATTATATTTTTTATTTTAAATTATATCTTTTGATTATGCCATTACAGTTGTCCCAATTTTCTGCCTCTCCCCTCACACCAAGCACTTGCCCACTCCCTCAGGCAATCCCCACGCTGTGTCCATGGGTCATGTGTATAAGTGCTTTGGCTATTCCTTCTCCTGTACTGTACTTTACATCCCTGTGGCTATTCTGTGGCAACCAGTTTGTGCTTCTTTTAAAAAAAAGATTTTATTTATTTATTCTTAGAAAGAGAGGAAGGGAGGGAGAAAGGGGGAGAGAAACACCAATGTGTGGTTGCCCCTCGCAGGCCCCCTACTGAGGGACCTGGCCTACAACCCAGGCATGTGCCCTAACTGGGAATGGAATCTTCCATCCTTTGGTTTTCAGGCTGGCATTCAATCCACTGAGCCACACCAGCCAGGGCCCAATTTGTACTTCTTACTCTCCTCATCTCTTCACCTATCCCCCCATGCCCCCTCCCATTTATCAACCATCAAAACGCTCTCTGTAGCCATGATTCTGTCTGTTCTTGTTTGCTAAGTTTTTCAATCCTTAATAGGTATGTTTTTATTGCCATTTTATTGTTCATAGTTTTAATATTCGTTTTTTAAAATAAGTCCCTTTATCATTTTATATAATGGTTTGTTGATGATGAACTTCTTTAGTTTTTGTTGTCTGGGAAGCTCTTTATCTGCCGTTTGATAACTGGAAGTCCACTGTAATATGATTTTTAAGATGGACTGCATTTTGTTTCGTGGTTTCTTAACTCTAGAATCAGGATGAACAAATAGCAATCATTCTGCAGAAGTAGACTTTAACTCTTTGTATTAGCATAATTGTGCACAGATTATAAAGTTCTGTCTTATTACTTTCTTAATGAATCATTGCAACTAACTCATGAGGTGATGGAAAGAGAAATGGAGATTCATTTAGGTCATATGGCTTGCCCAAGGTCCATGGTGCAGTGATTTCATGTGTCTGCATTTGGACCTTAGCAGAACTTGCTGCTGTTTCTGAGGTCCTTCATATTAGAAGATGAATAATACTCATTTTCAAACTCGGGCCTAGCTACAGTTTACATTCAACATTTTTCTCTGTTCCCCATTTATTCGTGCTTTTGCATTATATGGGTATTTGTCTAGTTCCTCTTTAAGATCAAACACATCTTTCCCCCTTCATCTCCAGTTCATAGTAGATGTAAAATAAATGCTTGTTAAATAAATACATGTATGGATATAAAGAACCAAACCATTAAAATTATTAATGAGAATAAACATTTGTATAGCCTTTTTTTTCTTAACAGTAATTATTTTATTTTTATTTTAAAGTATATTTTATTAATTATGCTATTACAACTGTCCCATTTTTCTCCCCTTTATGCCCCATGGCCATGTACCCCATTAGTTCCCCCATGTATTCCAGCATTGCCCCCCTTAGTTCATGTCCATGGGTCATACATAAAAGTTCTTTAGCTTCTGCATTTCCTATACTATTCTTAACCTCCCCCTATTTTATTAAATCTATCATTTATGCTTCTTATTCCCTGTACGCTTCCCCCTTTCTCCCCCTCCACCTCCCCGCTGATATCCCTCCATATGATCTTCATTTTTG